CGAACCCGCGGGCTCAGGCAATCCACTCACCTCAGTCTCCCAAAGGCGTGGGATTACAGGCTGAGCCACCGAGCCCGGCCCTTGTGAAAATTCTAAAAACCATTGAATCATATGCCATAAAAAGGTGACTATTATCACATGTGATTTATATCTAAATAAAAAAAAATTCAAAGTGAATGGCTGGGAGTGGTGGCCCATGCCTGTCATCCCAGCTACTCAAGAGGCTTAATGGAAGGGTCACCTAAGCCCAGGAAGTCGAAGCTGTGGAGTGGTGAGCTATGATCATGCCGCTACACTCTAGTCTAGATGACAGAATGAGACCCTGACTAAAAAAAGTAAAAAGTGAAAAAAAAAATGATTCCTTGGCCTCGATGCAGTGGCTCACACCTGCAGTCCCAGAAGGCTGAGGCGGGAGAATCACTTGAGCCCAGGAGTTTGAAACCAGCTGGACCAAGTAAGCGAGATTCTATCTGTACAAAATAATAATAATAAATTAGATGGGTATGGTGGCGTGCGCCTGTAGCCCCAGGTACTCAGAAGGTTGAGACAGGAGGATCACGTGAGCCCAAGATTTCAAGGATGGAGTGAGCCAAGATCACACCGCTGCATTCCAGACAGCCTGGAACACAGAACAAAATTCTGTTTCTAAAATTTAAAAAAAGAAAAAAGCGGGACGGGCGCGGTGGCTTCTACCTGTAATCCCAGCACTTTGGGAGGTGGAAGCAAGAGGATTGCCTAAATCCAGGGGTTCGAAACCAGCCTGGGCAGCTTAGCAAGATCTTGTCTCTACAATAAATCAAAAAATGAGCTGGTTGTGGTGGCACATGCCTGTGGTTCCAGCTTCTTGGAAAGCTGAGGCAGAAGGATCACCTGAGCCCAGCAGGTCGAGGCTACGGTGGCTATGAGCGTGCCACTGCACTCCAGCCTGGGCAACAGCGAGATTCTGACAAAAACAAAACAAAACAAAACAATTGGGCCAGGCGCGGTGGCTCAACCTGCAATCCCAGCACTTTGGGAGGCCAAGGTGAGAGGATTGCCTGAGCCCGGGGGTTCGAGACTAGCCTGGGCAACTTGGTGAGACCTCGTCTCTACAATAAATCAAAAAATTATCCGGGCGTGGTAGTGGATACATGCAGTTCCAGTTACTTGGAAGGCTGAGGCCAGCAGGTCGAGGCTGCAGTGATCATGAGTTTGACACTGCACTCTAGCCTGGAAGACTAAGTGAGACTCCAACTCAAAAAAATTTTGTGTTTGATTAAATTTTCTTAAAAAGAGAGAGGGATGCAGAGCAGAAGAAACACAGAGGAAAGGCAAAGTGAAAACCAGCAGGTTGCAGTGATGCAGCCACAAGCCAGGGAACACCTGGAGCCTCCAGAAGCTTGAAGAGGTAGGGAGGATTCTTCCCCAGAGCCTTTGGATGGAATGTGGCAGTTCTGAAGCCTTGATGTTGGACTTCTGGCCTCCACAACTGTGTGAGAATAAGTTTTTGTTGTTCTAAGTCACCAAGTTTGTGGCAATTTGTTACAGTAGTAGCTACAGGAAATTAACACACCTCCCTACACCTGCCTCTCCTTAACTTAGAAGAGGGATAACTATGTCTGCTTCCTTTGGTTGCTGTGAGGATTAAGAGGGCGTAAGGTGCTTACGTGTCTAGAACAGGCAGGAGTTGTTATGGCACAGGCCTGAAGCCAGTCTGCGCGGGCCTAACCCTGGATTTACCTGTACCAGCTGCCTGGCCTTGTGGGAGTTTTTTTTTAACCTTTCCATGCTTCAGTTTCCTCATTTGTAAAACAAAAATAACACCTCTGAGGATGTTATAAGGCATAGTTCTCAAACTTTTTGGCCTCAGAACCTCTGTACCTTCTTGAAAACTATTGAAATCAGGTGCAGTAGCTCATACCTGTAATCCCAGCACTTTGGGAGGCAGAGGTGAGAGGATTGCCTGAGCCCAAGGGTTCAAGACCAGCCTGGGTAACTTGGTGAGACCTCGTCTCTACTATAAATCAAAAATTAGCCAGGTGTGGTGGCATGTGTCTGTAGTTCCAGCTACTTGGAAGGTTGAGTCGGAAGGATCACCTGTGCCCAGCAGGTCAAGGCTGTGGTGGCCATGAGCATGCCACTGCACTCCAACCTGGGCGACAGAGTGAGACTCCTACTCAAAAAAAAAAAAAAAACAAAAAAAAAAACCAAAACTATTGAAAGCGCTTTTGGGCTGGGTGTGGTGAGTCACATATATAACCCCGGCATTTTGGAAGACTGAGGCAGGAGCAGCACTTGAAGTCAGGAGTTTGAGACGCATCTGGGCAACAAAGCGAGACTGTATCTGTGCCAAGTATGGTGACACATGCCTGTAGTCCCAACTACTTGGGAGGCTGAGGTGGGAGGATCTCTTGAGCCCAGGAGTTTGAGGCTACAGTAAGCTATGATGGTACCACTGCACTCCAGCCAAGTGGTCAGAGGGTGGATCTCGTCTCAAAAAAGCGAGAGCTTTTTGTTAGCTCCTTTTTGGGCTATATCTATTGATATCTAATGTGAGTAGAAATTTAAACTGATGCTTTAAAAAATATTAATTTAGCCGGGCTCGGTGGCTCAGCCTGTAATCCCAGCACTTTGGGAGGCTGAGGTGAGTGGATTGCCTAAGCCCGCGTGTTCGAGACCCGTCTAGGCAACTTGACGAGACCTCATCTCTACAATAAATAAAAAAAAATTAGCCGGGCGTGGTAGTGCGCACCTGTAGTTCCAGCTACTAGGAAGGCTGAGGCGGAAGGATCGCTGGAGCCCAGCAGGTTGAGGTTGCGGTGGCCGGGAGTGGCCACTGCACCCCAGTCTGGGTGACAGAGTGAGACTCCAACTCAAAAAAAAAAAATTTTAATTTTAAAATAGTAAACATTGATCGGGCACGGTAGCTCATGCCTGTAATCACAGCACTTTGGGTGATAGAGATGAGAGGACTGCCTGAGCCCACAGATTCAAGAACAGCCTGGGCAGCTTGGTGAAACCTCATCTTTACAATAGATCAAAAATTAGCTTGGTGTGGTAGTGCACACCTGTAGTTCCGGCTACTTGGAAGGGTGAGGTGGAAGGATTGCCAGAGCCCCAGAGGTCGACGCTGGGGTGGCTATGACCGTACCACTGCACTCCAGCCTGGGGGACGGAATGAGACTCCAACTCAAAAAAAGATACAAAAAATCAAAAAATAATACTCAAGCAGATATTCAAGAAAAAAAAATTTAAAAATAGTAAACACACTACATGTTAACATAATTCTTTTTCATTTTATTTTAATGATGGGCAAGAGTGAGACCCTGACTCAAAAAAACAAAAAATCTGTTTCTGCATTCAGTCTGATGTGATATGCTGTTTCGTGTCAAGTATATAAAGAACATTTGGCCTCTCACCGATAAACATCTGAAAAAAGAGACAACTTCACAGAGACTCTTGGGTATTGAGGACCCCCAGTGGTCCTTAGGCCACACTTTGAGCACCAAGGAATAAGGATTCAATGAGGTAATGTATGTAAAGCACTTAGAATGACACTTGGGACATGGTAACCACTAGATATTTTTAAAAACTTAATGTAAAGGGCTTTATGGCGACAGGGACCTTCCTTCAAGGAGCTAACAGTCAGGTATGTCCGTACCCACAAGGTTAAATCTCAAGATGCTAAGAGCTATTTTGATGGGGTGAGCAGCGTACTGTGGGTTTGGAGAGGAGGGTCCCTAACTCCTGCGTGGGGTGGGGGGACGGGGATGGAGTTGTGGGTTCAGAAAAGGCTCTCCTGGAGGTGGGCTGGAGTCTGATGGACGAGCGGATTTAGCCAGGGGGCTTGGGACAAGGAAACTGGGGTGCTGAGAGATGCGGACGCCGGCCTGGCCCACTGGGAGGTGGTGCTCATGCCACAGGAGCCGCCGATGGACGTGGCCG